TCGCGTGCCGCTGGCTCAGAGCCGTATAGTTTTCCTGGGCATCCAGTAGCTGGTTCTGGAGTTCCACCTCCCGCTCACTCTGCCGCTCGGGCCTCTCGCCTGGGGCCAGGGTGCGTCGCTCTCCCCCGCCGCGTTCTGCACTCCGGATTTGCTCCCGCAGAAATGCTACTTCGGCCTTGAGACGATCGATTATGGCCTGCTTGTCCCCCTCCTCAACCTGCTGGATCCGCGGCTTGCTCTGGATCGCTCGGGCCCTCTGCGCATATTGAACCGTATTCAACGTCTCGCTCAGGTGGAACTCGGCCGGCGTGACACAGGCAATCATGTACGTGATGGCATTCCCGCCCAGTGAGTCTTGGAGCAGTCGTGTTAGCTTCGAGTCCCGGTACGACACATGCGCCCCGGCCTGTCGCGAAGACAGCTGCGAGATAACCTTGCCGAGTGCTGCCAGACCAGCATTGATCGAAATACCCTCCTTTGCCCGCTCTCCCTGGGCGCCCGTGTTCTTGAGACGCTCGCTGCCGGCTAAATCCACGAAATGCATTTTGCTGTCGGTCGTTACCAGAGATTCGCTCCCAGACAAGCCCTCCACCGGCATCGACATGCGCCTCTCTGCTCCCGTCATCGGCTTGCTCTTCTTTTGCACCAGGTTCAAGCTGAATACGGCATGGGAGCGCGACGATCGGGCGTTGATCGCTGTCGCATCCGTCTGTCGAACTATCGATCCTTGCTCCAGCACATGCATCAGGTCGTCCACCGAGTTGACTTCCACCTGTCGCAAACCGGTCAAAAGAATGTTACCCTTGACGTCTTCGCGAATCGTGACGGCTCCCCGTTCATGAAATGGGATGGTATCGTCGACCAACAGGTCTCTGAGCTGCTCGTTGTAGATCTCGACATATGACGCGCGCAAGGTCCAGTTCTTTTCCGCCCCTTTCGTGAAACTGACAGGCGGGTTCGAGAACCGAGCTGGTGTTCGGAGCTGTGACATGGAACTGCGGTTAGGGTTGATCTTTGGACCTTCCAACCGTTCAAACAGCGCAGTGGCGGCGCGTGGGATCACACCTGAATATCACAGTCAGCACCGTCTAGCAGTTGGCGCGGTTTGGGGAGTATACTCACCCATTTGCTCCAGACTGTCCTGGTCACCCGCTGTGCCCATCGTGTAAGATTTGCCCGCGCCGGACTGGCCGTACGCGAGAAGGGATACATTGTACCCCTGGGTAAAGGCGTTGACTCCCTCGTCTAGATACTCCCATATTCCGGCCTGGCCAACTTCGGGGCCGAACACTCTATCAAAGACAAAAAGCTTGCGGCCCTGCGGTGACTCGATCGACAGGCTCGTTGGCGAATGCACCTGGACCATGGATCGCTGAAACCGCTGAGGTATAAGCTCGAAGCCCGGGTCTTCGGGCCTTAGAGGTGGGCGCACGCGAACCACTGCTCAACATGTCAGAAATGCAGGTGTCCGTGGCAGCGGTGGCACGCGAGACACACAGTCGGTGGACGGCGTGCCGGGGGTTCACCAAGCGGGATCCGAGGTATGCTGTGTACTCACCAACTTTGACGGCGGTCTTGGATTCCTCGTCCGAGGCTCTGCTTCCTCCGGCCGACTTGCCCTGCATGCTCATGCGGCTGCTACTTCTCGGAGCCGGGCGGACCATGGCGCTCATTGGCCGTGCAGGCAGTGTGCCCGGCGACGCTGGTGGTGAGCTTGCCATAACAGCGAAGCGGGACTGGGGGCGTGGAGCTCTAATAAGTAGTAGGTCTCGATCTAATCAATCGACTTGAACCGGCGCGGTGGGACGGGCCACTCGATTTTTGCCGCAGTCGTCCTTGAGCTCGTACAGGTAGGTACAGCTAGGCCCAATCGTGGAACGTGTGACGGGACGAACCGTCTCTCGGTGGTTAAAAGGGAAGAGGCAGAAGAGGCAGAAGCAGAATATTCGTCTGTCTGTCGAATAGCAACGACCCCGCAAAAGGGCTTATGCTTCTGCACTCGGTCGTCTGGCAGGCGTCATATGTTTTGTCGTTGGAAATTCGTGAATTCTCCTGTGTGTCGTCGGCGGGTATTCTGGGGGAGTTGCTGTCTGATGCCAGGGGCGCTTGGAAGGTCCCCTTGTTTATTTGATTGCACCGACAAGGGTGGCGCAAATTACAAACGCGTCCCCTGAAGCTGCGCCGGGGGGGTTGACTGGGGCCGATTGGGGTCCCTGGAGTCGCTTCGCTATAAAGTTATCGACTCCGGATGCGAACCGGGACGTCACGATCGCACAAAACGCAACGTCGAGAGCCTCTCGCTTCCAGGCTGGTGAATTTTTTTTTTTTTTTTTGGTGTTTCGTTCTCCTTTTTTTTCTGTCTTTCGCTCTGCCAGTCAATGGCTTGTTAGTCGCTGTATGTGTTTTCCTGGTGGCTCGATGCGGTGAGACGGCGGCTCAGGAGAAAACTCTGAAGATTTTCCCTTCAGCTGCGAGCTCAGGTTTGTTGGCGAGAGAGGTACCGAGCAGCCCACTCAGAAGCCAGAACAAGCAAGCAGTGGCAAGCAGTGGCAAGCAGTTGATGAACACACAAATAGATATTGCAGCAGCAGAATAATAATGACAGCTCTTTCACTCACCGTTTCCCTCAGCAGCAAACTTCTCCCACAAACAGCTGCCCTGCGGAATTTGTCAGTTCTCTTCCAGTCCTTCAGTGTCACCACACAGGCCGTGTTGGGGGTGCCCGAGGCGGGACGGCCTTGCAGCGTTAGCTCGAGTAAACCCAAGCAACCAGATGCCAAAAGGGGACTAGCTCCCAGTGCGCACATCAGACGGCGGCTTCCCTCCGTTCTGGGGACGCGGTGCTTCCCCTGTAAAGGCCGAACGCTCTGGCCACCAGGTGACAGCTGGGCTTCCTATGGTAGACCTGACTCCGACTCTACGGATATTTCAAAGTCACCGGTGGACTCGGCCGCCGAGGTCCAAGGTGGTGAAAGACGAGACAACACCCATATATCGGACATTCCGTCTGTTCCCAGCAACTTTGGACATGACGATCTGCCTTTCCAGATCTTGTTTGTGTGCTTCCATGTCCACAGTGGAGTCTGGGATGAGCTGCATCTGAACTTCTCGCCCAGAGGTGCAGCACAGGGTTGCAACTTCTCCTGGATTGGACGAATTTAGCTGCAGAACAAGGCACCAGTTTTCATCCACTCACTGTTTGGGGGAACACCATCTGCAGGCACAACACCACTATTCGGCAGCACCATCCAATGATGGACTAGTTTCTACCTTCTACGCCTCTTCCTCCAGACCTCGATAATCTCATCGGTATCTTCAGAAGGGGCCACAAGACGGAACAGGTTACAGACGGCAAACATAATCGGCCTGTTATCGTCAGTGTCAACCCCCACCTAGCATCCCCCAACTTGAAGAAGCAAAGTTGCACCATACCATTCGCATTCCAACAAGATAAGATCACCAGACGCAGCAAAGATTTGCTCAATCAGGTGCCCCAGCCCCTCTTTTGGCCACCAGTCAGACGCTTGATAGCTCCGGCTGCCGGGCCCAAAGATATCCGTCCCGGCTGGCCGGTGCGGTACGGGACGGCTTACCTTGCTTACCTAGGTCCTCCTCCCGTCCCCAAGACCACACAAGCCAGACCCTAGGTCCGGAGCTGTTGGTCCATCCTCACCCCCCAATAGTCCGGTCCGGAGAAATCGGTGATGTACATGTGCCTCAGCAAATAACCGCAGCGGAGAATTCCTCTTGATGGTTAAAAATGTCCAGCTGTCACCCGTCAGTGTGATCAACTCCATGTTCAAAGTGTCCGCACTCAAACAGGACAGCTGATAGGCGGGACCACAGTTTCAGAATCTCTGGTTTTGCAGCACATCGCTCAGCAATGCCGCCGACATGCAACGCCTTGACCCCTTTTCCTTCATGCAAAGTCTACAGAGTGTAGAACCCATGCATAGAACTCCAGTTACAACCAAGCTTGATGAGTTTCTAAAGAGACACGGCATATAGCTTCATGGATCATGAAACCATGACATATGTTTCTCTCTTGCAATATATACTGCCATACAAACTGATCCCTTCATAATCCCGCTGTCATCCTCCTCGGTCTCGAACTCGTCTTTCACACCCGACAGACACGCCTGTGATACCCCATGGGGAGAGGCCACCGGAGACTTACTAGTCTCCCCCCTCCTCACCGGCGTTCCCATCGGAGCGGAGCGGTGCCGTATTCCCGCTGCCCGGAACCCGGTCCGATAGCAAAGGAACGTTTCTTTCCCAAAGCAGAAATGTTTTGGAAATCCCTCTCCCCCTTCAATTCAACCCTTGAGACATGTGCGCTCGGTTCTTTGGTGTGGGGAAGAAAACGGCCGTGCGCACGGACGGTATCTGCAAGAGGTCGAGACCCAATATCCATCACGACATCAGGACCAACTTTAGAAATTGCCTTTTTCCAAGGCGGAGAGCGGCGAGAAGTTCATCCTTCTTCTGATAGTGAGAGGAGAGGAGGTCCGAGCAATGACCACTGTGGTAAGTGATCACCAATCATGGCGTAGATCGACCACGTGCGATTATTTCCCGAATGGTTGTTTTATCTTAGCTCTTCCTATTCTCCGCCCTGGAGACCTCCGTACGGCCGTACATGGCTTGCCTTAGAGACGGATGAGGAAGGTAGACACTCGGAATATCTGCAGCTAGCAGAATGGAGATGTTGAGGAAATTATTGGCATTGAAATGGGGTTTGACAGGTGAAACTTCTAAACTTGACATTGACGACCGTTGAAAGCGGGGTTTATTCTTGGAGAGCCGACAGGGGTGGCAGGCAGTTAAGCTTTTCACGTGATATGGCGCTAGGTTCGCGCACTTCATGGCGCGTCTCTTTAGCTAACGAGAAACTGTCTCGACTCCAGAACGTCGGCCTTGTGTTGTTGCCCCCCGACGTCATTTAAACAATGGCCGGCACTTGAGGGTCCCCAGAAACTACACTATCCCACAAGCAACACATGACGTTACAAGGATCTCTTGGTTGCGCCTCTGCCTCATATACGATGACCGAGATTGTCGATCTTCTCTCGAGCTCTCCGCCTCGGCCACCCACAGCTCGCCAACCATCTCTCCCGGCTGCAGGCTCCAAACGGCCCCCACCTAGGGAGAAATCACCAATTATCGAAGATGCCCTCTTCGTCTCGGACGATGAGTTGGCAGCTAACCCAGTGGTTGGAACTGGGTGGTCATGGAAAGGGCCTAACGCAGAAGGACCAGCGACCAAGAAGCGCCGGATAAGCGCAGCAGACTCAATCGTATCGAGTCCAAAAAGGAACTCTCCGTCGTTGGCAGCTTCGATTCCTTCACCTTCTGCGCAGCCCATGGATCAGCAACGGAGTAGCTCTGTCCCTAAAGGAGTAAAGAACATTGGAGGAAAGTTCTACCGACCCGGGCTTGATGATTCGGAAGGTGAAATGGATGATGACCCTTTCCGAAGCCCGTCACCTAAGGGGAAAGAGGTTGCATCTACGCGAAGGGGATTCGACCAGCCAGAAATAGACCTTTTGTCTGACGATGAACCGGACAGTGACCCTTTCAGATGTTCGCCACCTAGGGGCAAGGAGACTGCATCAACACGGAGAGGTCTTGACCAGCCAGAAGTGGACTTTCTGTCTGACGACGAGCTTTTTGTGAGCGAGACACCCCATGATAAGGGGAAACAGCCGATGCCAGCTGTACCGAAGCGGAATCTTATGGCGGAGGATATCATCTCAAGCTCGCCGGCGCTGACGCAGCGAGCAAAGAGCACACTCAGCAAGACTGCTGACTGGGGTCCTATCTCGAGCTCGGCGCCCATTCCAGCCTCTGATATTGGCCACCCGCCGGAGCCATCTCGTCCCTTCCGCAAGACTCGATCAGAGGTCATTTTGCTTGACGATTCTGACGACGCCATGGATGATGTGGACTCCGATAAAGACGATATCCCTGATATTATGGACCTTGCCAGTTCCAAGCGAAAAACCACCTCTGGGTCAACCTCTAAGCGGCCGCCGACAGTTACCAAATCAAGGAACAAGAGGTTCACCACAGGTGTCTTATCAGCCAATGCTGTTGACCTCCCAGATGAGGAGAGAAAAACGCAACAAACGAAAACCCCCGCCGAAAAAGCAGCAGAGAAAGCAACCAAAGCCGCCGCCCTCGCCGCCGAAAGAGAGCGCAAGCGTCTCGAGAAAGAAGCCGCCAAAGAAGCCAAAGCCTTTGAAAAGAAAAAAGCAGCCGCCCTCGCAGAAGTGAACAAACTTCGCACCGACAAAAAGGTCTCTACCCCCGAAATGATTGTTGACCTCCCCATCGGCCTCAACCCAACCATCAAAATCCAGGCCAAGGAACTTCTAAAAGACCTCTCCGTCCAAGTCCAATCCTCCCGCTCCCCGGTTGACAACATCGTCCGCTGGAAGCGAGAGGTAGACGTGGAATACAACCCTGCCCTTTCCATCTGGGAACCTGTTCCCCATCGAATCGACACGGAGAAGTACGCCATGGCTATCATGCCCGCCGCTCGGTTTGTGGAGTTATGCCTCTCCCCATCCACCCCAAACCTGGACTCGCATGTTTCCTCAATGAAGTCCAGTTTTCCCGGATTTACCTTGATCTACCTAATCGAAGGCCTAAACCCCTTCCTCCGCAAGAACAAGTCCGCTCGAAACAGGCAGTTTGTCTCCGCCGTCCGTGACGGGCTCGATCCCCCTTCTAGCACCCAGCCCAACCGGCCGGCCAACAACAACCAAAAAATAATCAACGAAGACCTCGTCGAGCAATCCCTCCTCCAGCTACAGCTTGTTCACTCAGCTCTCATCCACCACACCAACGCCCCGATTGAAACCTCGCAGCAAATCGCCGTTTTCACTCAGCACATCTCCACTGCGCCGTACCGGCGGTTGAGGGATCAGACGAATGACACCCAGGCGGGGTTCTGCATGGACTCTGGGCAGGTCAGGACTGGGACCGAGACGAAGGATATTTATGTGAGGATGCTGCAGGAGATTGGGGGGGTCACGAAGCCGATCGCGGTGGGGATTGCGCAGGAGTATGGGAGCGTGAGTCGGTTGAAGAGGGTGATGGAGGAGGAGAGGCCGTTGATACGGGAGACGGTGAGGAAGGGGACGAATAGGGATGGGGGGTTTAGTGATCGGGCGATTGGGCAGGCTTTTAGTAGGCGGGTGCATAAGATATTGCTGGGGAGGGATGGGGGGAGTAGTGATATTTGATGGGGGGGTGTGGAGGGGATGTGAAGGCGAGCGTGTGTAGTATTATATATATGTGTGTGAGTTGGAGGATCTTGAAAAACACAATGGGATACCACCACCACAGAGTTAGGATATTTCTTAGATTATCAACATTACAATAATCTTATAATACCATCATGTCAAGCTAATCTCACTTGTCAAATCATGCTCCTTTGCCAGCCTCAATCTTCCGCTCCAATTTACTCCTGCCCCCAATGCCAACAAACAGTGTTTAAAACAACCCGCTCCCTCAGCTTACTTTCCCCCCTCCCCCATCAACCCCTCAGCAGCCTGCACCACGACCTCCACCACCTCCCTCCTCTTACTCCCCTTAGCACACTCCATCAACGCCTCCACCGCCCCCCCCTCCACCAACTTCCCCCTCGCCAGCCTCCCCACCTCCCCCTCAGAAAAAACCATATTCCTCACCACCACCGCCCCCCGATGCCTCAAATCCTCCCTCTCATCCCTACAAAGCCCCAACACAACCTCCACCCCCCTCTCCAGCCCCATAACCGCCCTCACCACCTCGTCAAACCCCGTCAAACTAGCCAGCGCGCCCCCCGCCGCGCTCCTCGTCTTGGGGTCCTCCGCATCAGCCAAAGCAACAATAACCTTGACCCTATTCTTCGCCTTTGGACTCCCATCCCCAAACAACGCAAGGGTTTGCTCCGGGTCCTGAACCAAATTGCACACCAACTCCACCGCTGCCGTGCAGACCCTCGAGTTGGGATTAAACAGTTGTTCTTCTACATCATCCCACGCCGTCCGAATAATAGACTTTCTCGTGTCATCGTCCGTAGAGGCGAGGTTGGTGAGCGCCATAAGCGACTCAAACGTAGGCAAGAGGTCCCTCCTGTCCGCGGTGGGGTCTGGGGTGAGGATAGACGCCAACGGTCTGATAGCCGCGCTCTGCGGGATCGGTCTCGTGCCCCCAAACACAAGCGCCGGGTTGGTAGAGATCAAAATCCTCGCTAGAGCCTGGGCAGCCGCACGTTTAGGTCCGTTTTCCGTTTCTGGGAGGGCCGTCCATGCGGCGATGAGGAGACGGACAGCCCCCTGCTGTGCGAGTTGACCGCGGAGAGGGGGAGGGGTGGAAAGGGCGTGGATGATGGATATGATTAACGCCAAGGAGGCCGCAGAACCACTCTTGCTTTGCTTGATAAGGACTGGTGTAAGCCCAGCCTCGAAAACGCGTTTGCATCTTTCTGTGACGTGCTCGTCTTCGTTTAGCGGGTCAACCTGCTGTAGTTTTCCAGCAGCGTTGGCATACGCCTTGAGCTGCCGTATCCTTTTCTCTTCGTCTGTTTCGATGGGTCGGTATCTGGTCAGATTGGTAAAAATGCTGAGCGCGCCGTAAATCATCGGGGACCTGGGAGGGGCTTCATCGAGAGCCTTGACAAGACGTTTCAGTGTCTTGGAGTCTTTGGACAAACTTTCCTTCACCTTGGGTTGGAGAGACGCGTAGGCTAAGCCCTCGATCGACGGCTGGACATGCTCGATTTCATCTTCGTCTAGCAGCATCCTGGTGAACCGCTTAGATAAGTCCTCGATGCTAGTCGTCGCCGGTTGTATCCTGGCTTCCGGGCCGGCGGTGGCTGCGGTAGATGGAACTGCCTTCAAGCGTGATGTCAGCCAGACATCATCACCATGAAAAGGCAGCACAAAATACGTCAATAAGGGGGAGTAAGGATGTGTTGGCTGACCCTCAGTTTCGCCAGTACCACTGCTGCGAGGTTCTGGACTTGCAGAGAGTGTCGTCTCATAGAAATAGATCCCTCCTGGAGGTGCATGTCAGGGTCGACCGTATGCATGGACTTGACGGCGTCGTCGGGATCCTGCTCGACGATCTCCTCAAGCCACTCTGTGCAGTACTTTTGGACAGCCTCTCGGCAAGCCGAGTTCATGCAGGCGGCATTCAACATCTCCAAGCACGCCGTCTCGACCTTTCTGCTTTTCCATTTCCGCCTCATAAGCGGGCCTAGACTGGCAAGAAAACCTTCACTCAGGAACAGCTCGGATGTGAGATCGGGTACAATAGGGAAGATGGTGGCAGCGACGCAGAAGGCAACAATGTAGTCATCGTAGGTCCCCCGTCGGACTCGGTCATGGAAAAACTCGGCCAATTTCTTGCCGCCATCCTCGCCGGCAGCTTTGAGGTATGCAGAGGTACATAGTGCGGCGTGGGCGCGTACAACGTCGGGCTGTCTCATGTCGAGGTAACATAGTATGGTATCGACACAGTCGCTATCAATCACAGTCGTGACAGATGTCTCGCCCTTCTTGGTAACCTCGACGTCATCGTTAAGAAGTCGTGTTAGTTCGCCGAGTTCTCTGACAGTCTCTTCGTCCTCCTTTCCACCTTCCATAAGACCTGCGAAGATGAGCAGTGTCTGATCCAGCCTTCCCAGAGGCTCGGGCGCCGCCGCGGCCGCTTCGGCTACGGTAGCCATGTAATTTGTTTGTGACTGATGTTGATGTGTGTTGAAGGTTGGTGATTTTGTGGCTGCAGTAGTGCAAATGTTAATCTTTGGAGGATAAGGTTTGGTAGGGTCTGGTTAGGCCGGTGGCGGGTAGGTTTTTGTCAAAGGGATGGCAGGTGTCAGACAAGATGTAGGCGTATAGATAGGTGAGATAAGATGAATCGAAATCAAACGTAGGATTCAGGTGCTTATCAATCGCAGGCGTCGAGGATATGGAAAAGTGGAATAAAAGGGCAGAGGATCGACCAGACCCGGAGTAACGTGACAAAGTGTCCAGAGCCCGCCAATCTGGAAAGTTAACCTCGAATCTGTCGTGACACGAGAAAGAGCCGTCCTCTGGGGATGGCAGTTGCCCCTCGATGCTGGCTGATGGAGCTCTCTCTCCTTTAGCATCTGATTGCGCCCCCACCCCTACGAATAGCGGCCCAAGCCAGCTTAGCGCCATCTCTATTGGAGGGGTGCGTGAACAAAATAATAGGACTCCAACATGCCTCGAAAGTCAATGAACAGATCTCAGATGATGATCAGCAGACCTTTTAACTCTCTTTCAAGGCCTCTTAACTATTTTTTAATGCCTTTCAACTTCTTACAAGACCTTTATTAACTATTCGAGGTCCTTTGACTATATTGACGGCCTATTCACTATCTTTGAAGGTCCCTATTTTCTTGTCCACAACGTGGAGGGGTACCCCGAAGCGGTCTTAGCCTCACGTGGAAGCGCGATGCCAGCCAGGATCGACCAGGGTTTCTTCTTGACTTTTTATCTTCGGGACGCGTTCCATCGCAATTGAGCGAGAATACGCGACGGACCTTCCCTGCCAAGTTCAATGTATTCGAGCAAAGACGGCCCACTGAAAATCGACTCCAGCTGAGTAAAGCCTTGCGCGCCACTTCAACCATACGTGACGTGACGTCTTGACGACTACCTTATCTATCTACGAATTGCGGTTTACCGAACAGGACATATTTGATCCAACCCCTCATCGATTTCAAGTGCCACTGCTCTGACGAAGAACTCAATCCAAAACACCTCGCCGCGCAGCGGGAACGGCTCGAAAAGAATGAGCGCCCAAGATGCGGTGGACGCCTCCGAGCACTACGAGGTCTCCAAGCTCGAAGATGTGCCCTCGTTGACCACCATCATCATCGATACAAACCCACGCGCTTGGGCAGCACTGGGGGACGTTCTTCCACTCTCAAAGGCCATTGCCAATATCCAGATATTCATCAACGCCCACCTAGCGTTAAGCAACACAAACCAGATCGCCATTTTAGCCGCACACACGAACCGAGCTGTATGGCTGTATCCAACGCCCCCAAAACCACCATCAGAGGATGTTGAGATGCGAGATGCCGGCAAGACGGATACCTTCTTAAACACAGCGAATAAATTCCCACAATACGCCCAAATCGAACACGCCCTCGTAACCTCCCTCCGTGAGCTCATCGGGAGCACGATACCACCGGACCTCAACGAGACCACAACTCAAATGTCAGGCGCCTTAACACTCGCCTTAGCCCATATGAACAAGACGGCGCTTGCCTATAGTGCGAGCCAGGCACTCTCCAACTCTACTGCAGGAACCACTGCCCCGGGCACAACCGCAAGCACCGGTTTGGTCGGTTTTCACGGCCGTATCCTCGTCATCTCCGTCTCCGACTCCGCCGCCTCCCAATACATCCCCACCATGAACGCCGTCTTCGCAGCCTCCATGTCCCGAATCGCCATCGATACCCTTGCTCTCCGAGGCAGTGCCACCTTCCTCGAGCAAGCCTCTTTCATAACCCAAGGCACATTTATTCAAGCCGCCGACCCTCAAGGCATCTTACAGTACCTCATGTTCGGTTTTGGAGTGGGTAGCGCATCTTCCGGGCTTTCAGCAGCACAGAATGACGGCTCCGGGCCACTGATGGGCAAATCAAAAACAGGCAAACAAAGAGAGGGAGATGAGCTGAGGAAGCCGGTGGGAGAATGCCTGTTTACGCCGGCGGCGGACTCGGTAGATTTCAGGGCCGCGTGTTTCTGCCACAGGAACGTAGTGGACACGGGGTTTGTGTGTAGTATCTGCTTGAGCATTTTTTGTGAGCCACCGCCTGGGGACGAGTGTTTGACCTGTGGGAATAAATTGGCGGTGGGGGATTATGGGATGATCAAGACACCGGATGGATTGAACGTGGAGCCGGCTAATGCGAGATTGGCGCCTTCTCCGAGTGCTAAGAGAAAGAGGAAGTTGGAGGCCAATGGGGAATAATCCAAGAGTTTATTAGGGGTGGCTTTCAGGGCGTTGAATGCAGAAAGAGCGAGATACAGGCGTTTTATGATTTTCAAGCAAAAGCATAGGGTTCTGGACTGGACCGGGGGCGTTAGGGAGAAGTATTACCTTCTGGTATCACAGCGCAAAATAAGACTCGATGGGGCGTTTTGTCCCCCTGGAAATACCATAAGGTTTCATTGCGAATTATAACTCAACTCTCTAAGCCCTTACAATATCCCACTTCAACTCCTTGATACTGACCTCATCACCAGCCTTTTCGTCATACTCGAACCACTCCCCTTCGTTGAGCTCCACGCCGGTGAACTTAGTGTTGGACTCTAGGCCGTCGACCTCGAACTCGCCCTCGGGGATGAATTCTACGAATTCGAGGCCGCGGCAGTCGAAGGTGATGATCTTTTGGGACTTGGGTGGCTCGCCTTGTTGGTAGGGGGTTGGGGCGGTTTGGATGGAGGCGGAGGATTCGCGCTTGCAGTTCTTGCACTTCCAGACAAAGTTGGCTTCGCCGCGGGAGCCGGACATTTCGTTTTCTTCCTGTGGGCGGGTGTGAGTGGTGAAATGAGTGAGTGTAGTGTGAGTTGGGGGGGGGGGGATCATACAAATCTGCTGACGCCTACGGGTTTGGGGTGGACTTCTCTGCAGGAGGTGCATTGGACTTTAAAGGTGTACCAGAAGGGGTGTTCTTTTGTGTCGGTTGGGCGGAGGTTTGTTACTCTGTGTGGGATGGATGTAAGCTATGAGCTCATGATATGGAAGAGCCGAGATACGTAAACATACCCGGAGAGCTCGGCTGTGAGTGTGAGGGCGAACATGTTGTGAGATTGGTCCTGGCTCTAGTGCCAAGGGATGAGTGAAGATGTGTATGTGTATGAAAGAGCTTGGACAGCCGACGCAAGGATGAGCTTCTCGTGATGGACGCGATGGAGGGGCACTCCTGCCCCGCTGGTGTTGAGACTGCGGGGCCCCCGTACAGCTCGTGTAATTACTGGGTATTACACCATAATTACACAACTTGGCGCGGGAGCTCGGGCCACCCCACCTTCGTGATTGCTCAACTCAGTTGAGGTCACAAAAAGCTCAGGGCCAGTCAACACTTTGAGCTCAGCCCACTAGACTGCCCGACAACACAACACCAAAACACCCAGTCGGTCCCGACACAAGATTGGCCGGCATGCCCCGAGGATGACAAGCCTTTGGTCAATGGCAGCCCGGCTGCAGGGCTGCCACTGTCGGGCGTGCCATCGAACCACACACACCATAGCCCGACGGTCGCCGCCGACAAGGGTGACGCCATTGACGACCAGTGCCCAAGCCCACGGACGACGAAAGGTTCTGGCCAGCGATGTCTTTACCGCCTGCTACACGGCTATCATGGCCACGGCCGCCGTGTTTGATGCTGGGCAGAAAGATCGTCGGAGACGAGAGCTCGACGAGAAGATTGAAGAGATAAAGCAGAGTTTAGCTGCGCTTGCCGAGGCAAACGGGCACAGCTTGGAGATTGATCAAGCGACTGGGGCTCCAGAGCCATCTGAAGACCTCATTGAGGAAGCCACTCAACAACTTTCGTCGTCCTCGACCGCTGAGAGCACAGTCGAGCCAACGCCCCAACCACCACGGCAAGCTGGGCGGAGACGACGACCAATACCTCGGCCCCGGACCGAGCAGGAGAAGCTAGCTCCACCACCACCAACGACGTTACGATACGTCTTGAACCATATATGCAAGACTAGGATGGTCACTCCGTATGAGAAATCACACAAGCTTTCAAGACCAGCTACAGGCTCTGCAACGTTGAGTGTCTTGAGTAACGCCTTGGCTGAGGAGGAAGCCATGATGAAGCCGTTGACCCCGGAGCCGGTGACCGAAATAGCCAGGATGAAAACAGTCGCCATGGTCAATAGTCTGGTCGACCGGCTCATCAAAGTGGCTTATTGGAGGACCGAGAAAGAGGCACCAGGAACGCATCCAGCGCTAAACAGCCCCGACTCTGCGCAGACTATGGTCAAGATGCTCCGGTCAGACGGGAACCCGCGCTACAAGGACACTTTCTTGGACGCAGAAGATGCCGCTAGACAGAGGGCTCGCTTGAACGAAGCCAATATGAAGGTTATCTCCGAGTTTAACCCATGGAGGAGGGAAAGATTTGTGGCCAAGATTTGCTTCAATATTCTCACCTGCGAGGTGTCTCCTTCGATCCAAAACTACAACACTCTTATATGGGGGTTCACGAATCTTGGGGAGCACGACCTCGCCCAAGCCGTGGTGGATTCATTCCTCAATGTCAGTCGCTTCCGGCCAACGCAGGCGACACTGCTGTGTCTACTCTATCACTACCGGGCAAGCCGCGATATTCTGGGCTTTCATACCATTCTTCGGAGGTTTTTCGGTCACGATTCCCGGGGCATGAGATTACGTAGGAGGGTGGCTATCACCCACTTCAAACGAGATCGCCATCAAGGAATCAACCGCCTTTGGTGGGCTGTCGAGGGAGACGTAGCTAGGATACGGGGCTACTACGTCCAGCGCGTCCCGCTAAGCCAGCCGATCATGGAGGCTATCATTGAAGGCCTGCTGGATTTTGAACGCACCCTAGATGCTGTTCAGCTGACCCAGGCTTGTCTGAACGAGAGTTGGGCCCCCAATGCCGATCTTTTCAGGCGATTATGCGAAATCATCGTAACACATGGCGATTGGGTAAGCGCGAAGGCGCTCATCCAAGGTCGCCTCGCAAAACTCAACCAAACCACATTTTTGCTGTTGGGCTCAGGAGACGGGAAACGTCCAGGCTTGCTGAACTTTTCGGCTGCTAGACAGTTTAGGAGAGTCTTGGCCATGACGAAGACGTTGTGGATTCATGATCAAAACACGGCCTGGCTCCAAGCTGGCGCAGAAAGGTTACGACACCTGGAGACAGCGCTCTGGCTCCTGGGGGTTCAGTCTAACCTTCATTTTGAGAGGTATACGACGCGGAGATTGGAGAGCATTCTTCGCTCGGCACGGCCCCTTACAGCTGATCGTATCGACCTTGTGAGCTCTGTCGTCGATAACATTGCCAAGAGGCACAGGTCGGAGGCTGAATTTCTTAAACACCTAGAGATTCGGGAAACTGTCAATGCCATGCACCGCGAATGCGAACTCACCAGGCAATGGCGGGAGCAAATTGAGCATGGCATTTGCGAGTGGCTGGCCAGGAAATTCAGGTTTGAGCTCTGAGGAGGGCAGAAAGCTACCTCAACCCAGCGATACCATTCACCAAACGATCTTT